ACTGCACTCCAGCCTGGGCGACAGAGTGAGACACTGTCTCAAAAAAAAAAAAAAATTCTGTAGAGATGGGCACTCGGGGGGGTCTCCCTATGTTACCAAGCCTGGTCTCCAACTCCTGACCTCAAGCGATCCTCCCACCTGGGCCTCCCAAAGTGTTGAGATCACAGGTGTGAGCCACTGAGCCACTGAGCCACCGAGCCACTGCACCCCATGCATCTTTTCTTTCTTTGGTCCTCTCTTCTGTCTTTCCTATTTGTCAGCTAATTCATTCCTTAAAACCATCTGTGACCCTTTCCCCTTGTCCTCTTCACTTATTTCCCAATTCTAGAGTCTCTCCCTTCACCAACCCTTATCTCCATTCCCATCACTGTCATCATGGCCTTTCAGGTTTTCTTTTTTTTTTTTTTTTAGACGGAGTCTCGCTCTCGCCCAGGCTGGAGTGCAGTGGTGCGATCTCCACTCACTGCAAGCTCTGCCTCCCGGGTTCACGCCATTCTCCTGCCTCAGCCTCCTGAGTAGCTGGGACTACAGGTGCCCGCCATCACGCTTGGCTAATTTTTTTTTTTTTTGTATATTTTTTGTTTTTTTTAGTAGAGACGGGGTTTCACCGTGTTAGTCAAGATGGAGGTTTTCTTTTTTCTAGGACTGGTGCAAAGGTCTTCTACTGATCCCTCAACTCAGAGCACTATCTTCCCTGCATCTACCCTGCCTGGCTCTGAGCGTCATTCCCTGTCTTCAGCAGGTTCCACCAGCTATCAAAATTCAACTATTTGGTTTGATTTTCAAAGCTCTGTCTGCCCTCTGCCTTTTTTGGGGGAAGGGGTGGCGCCTAGAGGCTTTTATGTCTGACTGCGCCAATGGGCCCTTGCCCTCTGCTTGGCTTTGGTGGTTCATCGTCCACCCCTGCTGTCCCTTATGCTCCAGGCTAAAGGAGATATTTGCCCTGTGTTTGAATACCCAGTGGGCCTTCTCATTTGTGACTGCCTGTATTGCTTCCTTTTCCCCAGCCTGATCCAAATCTTATCCATTCTTCAAGGCTCACCTCAGAGGCACATCTTCTTATGAGGTCTCTAATCCCCTAGCAACGCGAGACGGTTCCTTAGAACTCCCACAGCATCGAGAAATTCTCATAGCACACATTGCATTCAACCATCATGATGATGATGATGATTCCTTTAAAATTTCTGTATGACAGTGTGAGTAATATGTATTAATCACTGAGCATTTACTAGCTGAATATCTTGGGCACATTATACAATTTCTGCATGCTTCTAGTTTCATCGGTAAAACAGTGGTAATAACAGCTCCTAGCTCAGAGGATTGTTGTGAGGATTCATTTAGTTAATACAAACAGAGCAGCAGAGTCAGGCCTGACACATAGTGACTGATTAGTTGTTACTAATATTAGCTACGGTTGTTACTATGAATGCGGGGTAGCACTTTACATTGATTGCCTCAATGAGCCCTCTGACCTCATGAACTAGGTTACTATTATTATACTCTTTAAAAAATTGTAGTAAACTACACATAACATAAACCATCTTAGCAGTTTTTTAAAAATTTATTTTGAGACAGTCTCTGTCGCCCAGACAGGAGAGCAGTAGCGCAATCTCGGCTCATTACAACCTCTGCCTCTTGGGTTCAAGTGATTCTCGTGCCTCAGTCTTCTGAGTAGCTGAGATTACAGGTGCACACCACCGGGCCTAGCTAACTTTTGTATTTTTAGTAGAGATGGGGTTTCAACATGTTGGCCAGGCTGGTCTGGAACTCTCAGCTTCACGTGATCCACCCGCCTCGGCCTCCCAAAGTGCTCGGATTACAGGCATGTGCCACTGCGCCCAGTCCATCTTAATAATGTTTAACTATATAGCTCAGTAGGGTTAAGTACATTCATATTGTTATACAACCAGTCTCTAGAACTCTTCATCTTGCAAACTGAACCTTTACACTCCTTAAATAACTCATTTCCTCCTCCCCTCAAGCCCTGGAAAGCACTATTCTACTTTCTATGAATTTGTATTATTTTAGTCTTTACAGACTGAGAAAACCAAGGTTCTGAGAGTAATTTTTTTTTTTTTTTTTTTTTTTTTGACGGAATACGGAATCTCACTCTGTCGTCCAGGCTGGAGTACAGTGGCACAATCTTGCCTCACTGCAACCTCCACCTCCCGGGTTCAAGTAATTCTCCTGTCTCAGTCTCCTGAGTAGCTGGGATTACAGGCCCACGCCACCATACCCAGTTAATTTTTGTATTTTTAGTAGATACAGGTTTCACCATGTTGGTCAGGCTTGTCTCGAACTCCCGACTTCATGATCCGCCCACCTCGGCCTCCCAAAGTGCTAAGATTACAGGTGTGAGTCAAATAATTTGTTTCTAGAGAAAGAACCTGGATTTGAACCCAGAGCCCAGGTCATGCTTTAAGCCACTTTGCAATATGTTCACCTCACAGAACATGTGTGATGTGTTTTCCCTGCCCCATAATAGTGATGGCCATGGTATGCCAAGGCCCTCCTCTGTACCATTCTCACATTTAGTCCATGCAGCAGCCCTGCAGTCGTTGTGAGGGGTGGTGTCCTATTTCCCAGCTCAGTAGCTGGTATAGAATCGGGTTCAGTGAGTATGGGTCTGTTTGACATCTTTAAGTAGGCGCCTTTAAATAATACTAAATAAGTTTGTATTGCATTTTTAATGCAATTGTCTATATTTAATGCAATTGTCTATATATTAATGCAATTGTCTATATACTTGGAAAATATTGATTCTTTTTGGAGAAAACCAGTTGAAATGTATGAGGTCTTAGCTTCCCAATCATCTCTACTTCCCCCTCCTCTGCAGAGTCAATCTGCTCTCCTCACCCCAGGCCAGTCCCCGGGCCGCCCCCCATCTTTACCTCATCACTAGCATTGCAACTCACAGCCAAAGGCAGAGACAAACAGGCAGACAGGCAAGGGGACTAGGAGATTCTCCGTGCTCTGCTTCCTCCCCCTGCTGCTCCACCCCCACACTATTCCCTCTAGCCAAAACCAATCCTGACCAGCCTGGAACATGCTCTGGCCTTTCACGCCTCCGTGCCTTCGCACATGCTGTTCTTGAAGACTGGAATGCTTTCCCTCCCACCTTCTCCACCTCCGAACTCCTACAGTCTTACCAGCTCAGATGTCACCTCCTCTGTGAAGCCTCCCCGCCCCGCTCCCCGCCAGCTAGGAATCCACCCCCTCCTGGGTACAGACAGCACACCCCTTATTATAGCACTTGGACTGCAATGGCTGTTTGCAAGTCAGTGTGTCCCCCATGTCCCCAACTCCTTGTGCAGTGATGAGCCTTTATGCAGCCCAGGTCACTTTGATTTTCTGAGGTGCCTATCTGTCTGAAAATGAAGAGACGACAAAACAGGATGACATACGTGAAGGCAGGTTTTAAAATGTTTAACAAATTAATGTTAAATACTATGACAATTGTGCTGCTCACAAGATAATTATAAAATTTATTAAAATATAAGAACTTAGAGTGCTCCACAGGCACAGTGGCCTGGTAATAGAGTACAGGTTTAAGGATATACAAGGAGGGTCTTTGATCCCATCAGCCAGTGGAGCCGACATAATGTATAACCTTACTTAGAGATAAGGTCGAAAGCCTAAATTGGAGACCCTGGCCAAATGGCTCTTCTGGCCTCTTTCCCAGTGATGACAGGCTGTCCTGCTGCCTCTGCACATAGTAGGTACTCATTGTTTGCTGAATCATGGGAACGAATACAGCTTTCCAATTTGGTTACCGAAAACCCACATACAGTAAGTATTCCCAAGAAACACTGCAGTCTAGAACAATGGGGCAGGAAGCCACCTCCTCCTCCAATGACCCCAACCCTGAGTCCAGCTGAAGGCTGCAACAGGAAGCCCCTCGGCCACTGTCCTTCCACTCCCTCTTCCCCACTGCCCCCAGGGGCTCCAGATGCAGTCATGCTTTCCATCCGCTCCCAGCCTCTCTTCTCTTTCCAACCTCTAGAGGGTCTCAGGTGAAGAAAGAAAAAAGCACTTACAGAAGGAGGCAGGCAGCCAAGCTGAGCCCAGAGAGCCGTCCTGGGCGCCACCCCGCCCCCGCCCCCGCCCCGCAGGCCTGAGGAATAAAAGAAACAGCAAGAAGACAAAGAAGGGCTTAAAGCACTGGGGCAAAGGGGTGGGAGGAAGGCCTAAGGAAGTTTACAAAGCAATCTGTCAGAGAAGGGATGAAAAGGGAGCCCCGCTGGGCTGAGGGGCTCAAGCCCTCAGCTCACCTTAGGCCCAGTTAGAAACCTGCAATTACTTCAGCTAGTCAGAAAGACTCCCCTCCTCCTCGCTCCGAGAAGTGTGATTATTAACCTCTGAACCAGAAGTTTCCCTGAGCGTGAAGCCTCAACTTGCTGGGGTTTTGGCAGCCCCAAGTACCTATGCTCTACTAGGCTCAGCACACCGCTCAGTGGAGCCCACCAAACTGGCCCAACCTCTGTTGAGTCTGAATTTCTGGAAGAAACACAATGAGGATAAGGTCACCCACAGTTTCTCACAGCTATTGAGCCACTTTGATTCCCCAGATTTTCTGGGCTATCCAATATACCCACAAGCAGTTCTGGAAGTTTCCCTTACCACCAAAGCCAGGGTTCATAAAAAGTAACGGCTATCATCCAAGAGCGCACGCTCTGGAGCGCTTTAATCATCTCACCCACGCCTCACAACATCCTTAGGTATGATGGCCCTCATTTTAGAGAAAAGGAAATGGGCCTGGATTCAACGACTTTCCAAAGGATACACAGCCTGGATTCCGAACCAGGTCTGTCTGACCTTGAGGCCCAGGCTCTTTCCACTGGGGATACCGCCTCTCAGGAATCCTCCAGGATTCCATTTTATATGGTGCTCGGATCAATTTTATTTTTACAGCCAGTCTAATTTAGCAGTGGGGGGCTGTATACTAACTTTAGTGATATTAATGTTACTAAGTCTGGTAACCCACTACAATCGGATATTAATGTTACTAAGTCTGGTAACCCACTACAATTGGACCAGCCTCGGATCGATTTTAGATGAGGTAGGATGGTGTAATTCTGTGACATCTGAAGAATTCCTAGCCCCACAGTTGCGGGTGGAAAGAGAAGGAATGGGAAAGTCTGCATTATGGCTGGGTCGGGTCCTTCTAGTTCTTTTTAGACACTTGAGTAATTTAATCATAAATGGCCGGGCATTGGGAACAGGACACTCACTAATAAAAGCATGGCCTGGAGTTATGTTTGAAAAAAATTTCAAGTTCCTCAGTGGGTGGATCTATCTGCAAAACAAAAGAAAGGCCCCTTTCCCAGCCCAGGCAGAGAAGTCTCCTGTACAGTTAGAGACAACAGGCTTCCGGGCACGTAGCCAAGGTTCTGGGGATATTTATAACTTGAAGAGGGTGGGAGTCCCTAATAAGCTGCTATATTCTTTTTCCATCACTTCCCTCTCCAAGGCTACAGCGAACTCGGAGCTCTTCCCCACGCAGAATGCCTGCTTTCCTTAGTGCTGGACTTCCATTGTCTAATTTCCTCATACTGGCTGGGGAAAGGGAAAGCTGCGAGTCCTCCCGTTCCGAGGAACTCCAGCTGAATGCAGTTTAGTTGCTGGTGGTTTCTTGGCCAACCTCTGTGGTCTCAGGGATCTGCCTATGCGCCTGCGGTTTCTTTGAGCTGCCTGCGAGTCTGAGGCCTCGGGAATCTGAGTCTTTAGGATCAGCCTACGACATCTGGGTTTCGCCTGCAAGTCTACAGATTCGAGATCTGCCTGCGGGTCTGAGACCACCGGGACCTGCCAGTGCTAAAATCTTTCTGAACGCCAGGTCTGAGAGAACGCTGCGGCTCTGGGATCCGTTAGCGGTCTCAGGTTTTGGAGACGACGATCTAGTGGATCTTTTGCGCGACAGGAGGTAAGTCTGTTCGTCCCCCACTCGGGTTTTCGGCTTCCTACCTTCAACCGAACAGGGACTACTAACATCCTGAAGGCCCGCCCGGATCAGGGCCTCAGACGCCCAGGGTCCCTTCGGTGCGGGAGGCCGCTGGGGGCCCCTGTAGCAGACTACCCCTCGGGGACGATAAGCAGGGCCCGCCCCCGCCCAGGGGCCTGGCTATCTCCTCCTTACACGCCCTACACCGCCACCCGCTTCTGAGTTCCCCCAGGGTTTTCGCCTCCCCGCCAATGGACGCCACTCAGTTCGCCGCTCGAGGGGCGCCCTCTTGAGAAGGAGGCAGTCGCACGCCCCTACAGGGTTAAAGCGCCGGAGCCGAGACACCGCCAGGCTATGCTGCCGACCGCACTCCCGAGTCGCCCGGGCGGCGCGGGGCCTCTCGGGAGTTGTATTCCGCACGGAGCCGCGCGGCCGCAGGCGCTGCTGGGAGATGTAGTGCGTGGGCGGGGCTCAAAGTTCCAGCGCGGCCTCCGAGTCTCCCCTGGGGAGTGGGTGGCTGCCGCTTCCCTCTCCAGCCTGTGCTGTCAAGCAGGGGCTAATTCTAGCTCTGCTCAACACAGACCAGCGTATAAATTAGGCCTGACTTCGCAGAAAATAAGGCCCGACTCAAGAGAAGCTTCTAAGGACGTGAGGCGAAGCAGGGCAGCCTCCCTGGCTTAATCGTGCTGCAGTCTCCACGAGAAGAAAGCGAGAATACTCCGCCCTGACTGGGAGGACGTGCTTACTTCTTCACCCTTTTGTTCTTTTCCCTCCTCGGCTTTTGGCCTCTGGCTGGCTTTTGTACGCGGGAGTGGAACTCCAACTCCCGGCAGGCTATGGGGGCAGGCACAGGCGCACTAGAGGCTCCTGGCCACGCTGTGGGAGGCGGGCCTAGTGTTCCGCCTCTGATTGGTAGAGTGTTTCACGAACTTCGCTCGCTGATTGGCTGAGGCAGCTGCCGGAAAGGACCCGGCCTCGAGACGGCAGAGCGGAGGCGTTCCCTGGGCTGGGCTGAGCGCCTCCTCCTGGAAACAGCATCGGTCTAACCCCCGGCGCGGGAGGGACCCAGCCAGGGGGCTGTCCTAGTAGATTCCGGCATTGCCTCCACCCCGCTGTGGCGGAGACACAGAGGGCGGGTCGCGCTGGAGGGTCAGGGAGGAGAGTGACCCGGCCCTGGTCCAGGGCCCTCCCTGCACGCCTTGGGGCCAGAACTCCAGCCCTGGGGAGTGGGCAGGGCCTGTTTTCCGTGCCTCACACCCTGCTTTTCGCCTCCTTCAGCGCTGTCTGCTAGCTGCTTTTCCTGCTCTCTCTCCCTGGAGGCGAACCCTTGTGCTGGAGATGGCAGCCACCCTGCTCATGGCTGGGTCCCAGGTAAGCTGGGGGTGGCTTCTCGGACCTTGTCTTTTCTTACCCACCTCGCCCGGCGTTTCTCTGCTCTGCAAGTCCCTGTGGGAAATTCCCTGGGATTAGTGATTCGCTGGCTTCGATATTCTGCCTCCAGGGGCCTAGTACCAAGCCAGTATTGTCACAAAAAAGCATATATCGAACACCTGCTGTATGCCTTTAAATACTGGGGAGATAAAAGATGGACGAGATGGGCGCTACCTTTTGGCTCACAGTTCACAATCTATAGGGAGAAAGGCGGATCCACTTAAGCGTGGCACAACGTAATAAGTGCTCTATTTGCTGTAGGAACAAAGTGCTGTAGTGTGGGAATCACTCCCAAGAAGTGGGAGTGATTAAGTCTATCTGGGGTATCCGAGGGGAGTGGAGTCGTGCAGAGGGGTAGGGGGCATTGAAGAACAGTTTGTACTGGAGCGGGACCTTAAAAAGCAGTAGAATTTCACTAGTGTGAGAAGGATATTCCAGGAAAAGAGGGACATTATGAGTAAAGGTATGGAGCAATGCAAGTGCCAGATAGGTCCTGAGAAAAGCACAGCCAGAGGATAAAGTTCCTGAGTGGGGCAGGGATAGCTGGCCATGGGACCAGAACAATCAGCTCATAAATTGCTGCCTTTACCACGTCTCTTTTTTGCTTGAATATTTCTTCTTTGGACTCTATAGATCACATTTAATATCTTTTTCCTCCTGAATATTTCTAACTATGTTTCTAATTTCAAGAAGTCCTAAATACAGAATAGTAGGGAAGCGTTGTGTGATTTCAGGCACCTGTGACATTTGAAGATATGGCCATGTATCTCACCCGGGAGGAATGGAGACCTCTGGACCCTGCGCAAAGGGACCTTTACAGGGATGTTATGCAGGAGAATTACGGAAATGTTGTCTCACTAGGTAAGTAAGGAGTCTACCTTTCTTTGCCTCCACGTTTTTGAGATCATGTCAAAATGACTTAGTTATTTCAACGCAGCCTAGTGGTTTGATGTTTTAAAGCACTTAATTGCATATTGGCTTGACTTGAGTCCTCACGCGGATCTTCGAATGTGGGAACATCCAGGTCATATTGTCTAAAAAGAAAAAAACTGCTTCTGCACATTTTAGAAACATTCAGATATCTTGTGTCCTGAGTCATTTTCCAATCTCCAGCCTGTTTGTACAGATCACTGACCAAACAGGTCTGGCATAATAGTGCTTGCCAGAATATAAATGCCCCTATAAGTAGTGCTTTTACTCTAGGGTGCCAAAAAATGAGGGGATTCTAACCCAGGTTCATGGGAGGGCGAAAGCCACCTTTTTGTGTTTGTTTTGGCTTCAGAGCACTAGCTTTGACTCAAGTTCCTTAGCTGAGTAGGTTGCCATCTAGAAATGTTTCAGTGTTGATGATGATAGATTTCTAGTGTGTCAAATGCTGTTCCAGAAGAATGCTGAAATAGATCACAAATTCTATTCGAGAGGGCAGCTGATTTTTTTTTCACATGATCTGCAAGCCTGTCTTCTCTCTTTGCTGTACTTTGGTCTGGGTGTAACTAGAATAAACAGTATATTCTTGAGCTGAACGGTCTTTTGACTCACTCTGCCTCCTGTCAAGACTTGACAGACATTAGCAAGCGTGTGTGGGTCACTAGGTCATCTGCCACTCATTAGGACTAATCCTTTTTTTGAAATCTTTATTCCCATAGCCTTTCTCAGAACAAAAGGCAACTCTGAGGGCTTTCCTTTTTAACTTGAGCTTTCTCTGATATCCCTAGTTTCTTGAATCCTTTCTTTATAAAAGTAACTATAAATAGTTATCTACCCAGATCTATTGCAGTCTGTAACCCAAATATTCCACTTAATCCAACAAAAGCAAAAAATGACAATCATTTAAAAATGTGAATTTACATTTCTATAGTTTAGCCCCAAAAGCACTTGTTAGAAGCATGGAAGCACCAAAAAACTGGTTTTTTGCCCAAATAAGTTTGGGAATGGGAATGGGTTTAAAAATGATTACAAGACAACCTTTTTCTTTTCTTTTTTTTTTTTTTTTTGAGATAGGATCTTGCTCTGTTGCCCAGGCTGGAGTGCAGTGGCATGATCACAACTCATTGCAGCCTTGACCTCCCAGGCCCAGGTCATCCTCCCATCTCAACTTCCTGAGTAGCTGGGATCACAGATGTGTACCACTTTGCCCAGCTAATTCTTTTTATTTTTTTTTAATTTTTTAATTAAAAAAGATTTTTTTCTGAGACAGAGTCTCCCTCTGTTGCCCTGACTGGAGTGCGGAGTTCAAGCGATTCTCCTGCCTCAGCCTCCCAAGTAGCTGGGATTACAGGCACATGCCACCATGCTCAGCTAATTTTTGTATTTTTAATAGAGACATGGTTTCACTGTGTTGGTCAGGCTGGTCTTGAACTCCTGACCTCAAGTGATCCACCCACCTCGGCCTCCGAAAGTGCTAGGATTACAGGCATGAGCCACCACCCCCAGCCTCTTTTTATTTTTAATAGAAGAGAGACCTCCCTGTGTTGCACAGGCTGGTCTCAAACTCCTAGGCTCAAGTGATCCTCCTGCATCAGCCTCCCAAAGTGCTGGGATTAGAGGCCTAAGCTACTGCATCTGGCCTTATAAGGCCTTTTTACCTTAGGATTCCTTAGAACCTTTAGTGTGTTATTAGGCATTGTGAATTTTGAAGGAAACGATATTGTATGTACCATTTACCAACCTAGTTTATTCATGAACCCTTTTCTCCTGAAATGCATACTTTCTTTCTGAAGAGTGTACTAAGAAACCCAATTTGGAGAACGCAGTGTCTGGTATAAAACTTCTTGTAGACAGTGGTTGTGTATTTTGATTTTCATTTGAAGACTGCATGTGAAATAGACAATGCCAAGAATGTTCTCAGCCAGACATCTTTTTTGCCTTCTTCAACCTTCCCACTTCTATGTTCATTAAAAGGTCACTGAAAAGTAGGAAGTGACATTTGTCAGTCACTTTTCTGTCAACTATGACATAGGTAAAGATTCATTTTTCTCCATGTTAACATAGTTGGTTCTGGCTGGGCACGGTGGCTCATGCCTGTAATCCCAGCAGTTTGGGAGGCCGAGACAGGCGGATCACCTGAGGTCAGGAGTTCAAGACCAGCCTGGCCAATGTGGTGAAACCCCGTCTCTACTAAAAATACAAAAAAATAGCTGGGTGTGGTTGTGGGCACCTCTAATCCCATCTACTCGGGAAGCTGAAGCAGGAGAATCGCTTGAACCCAGGAGGTGGAGGTTGCAGTGAGTGGAGATCGCACCATTGCACTCCAGCCTGGGCAACAAGAGTGAAACTCTGTCTCAAAAAACAAAACAAAACAAACAAACAAAACAACCGTAGTGAGTTCTTAGTAAATATTTCATGATGCTACTAATGATGAAGGCTTGGCAAGTTAAAAAATACACACTCACAAAATATCTGGACTCTTGCCTTTTAGATATTCTAATTTAGAGTCTCATATTTTCTGCTTCCAATTTTCTTTCAAAACACGGGGAATATATATAGTTTTCTTTTCTTTTTTTAAGAGGGTATCGTTCTGTCACCCAGACTGGTGTGCAGTGGCACAATCACAGCTTATTGCAGCCTTGAACTCCTGGGCTCAGGTGATTCTTTTACCTCAGCCTCCTGAGTAGCTGGAACTACAGTTGCATGCCACCACACCCACCTAATTTTTTAAATTTTTTGTAGAGATAGGGTCTCCCTATATTGCCCAGCCTGGTCTTGAACTCCTGGCCTGAAGTGATCCTCCTGACTTGGCCTCCTAAAGTGTTAGGATTACACACATGAGCCACGGCACCTGGCCTGTGTAGTTTTCTTAAGGAATCATTAATTACAGCGATACAGAACATGAATTTTGACAGACCTGAGTTTGAATACTGGCTTTACCATTTACTATGGCGTTGAACAAGTCAATTCACTTGTCTGGGTCTTGGATTTCTCATTAATGAAGTAGAAATAATCACAATTCCTGACCCTCAGAATAGCTGTGATAAAGAATATAGTAATTCATATAAATAATTTAGGCTGGGCACAGTGGCTCAGGAGTTCAAGACCAGCCTGACCAATATGGTGAAACCCTGTGTCTACTAAAAATAAAAAAATTAGCTGGGCGTGGTGGCATGCACCTGTAGTCCCAGCTACTAAAGAGGCTGAGACAGGAGAATTGCTTGAACCTGAGAGGCAGAGGTTTGCAGTGAACCAAGATCACGCCACTGCACTCCAACCAGGGCAACAGAGTGCGACTCTGTCTCAAAAAAAAAAAAATTTAATATAGTGCCTGGCACATAATAGGTAATTTTTGTTCTTACTAGCCTTATTGTTTACTTTTTATTACAGATTTTGAGATCAGGAGTGAGAATGAGGTAAATCCCAAGCAAGAGATTAGTGAAGATGTACAATTTGGGACATCTGAAAGACCTGCTGAGAACGCTGAGGAAAATCCTGAAAGTGAAGAGGGCTTTGAAAGCGGAGATAGGTCAGAAAGACAATGGGGAGATTTAACAGCAGAAGAGTGGGTAAGCTATCCTCTCCAACAAGTCACCGATCTGCTTGTCCACAAAGAAGTCCACACAGGTATCCGCTATCATATATGTTCTCATTGTGGAAAGGCCTTCAGTCAGATCTCAGACCTTAATCGACATCAGAAGACCCACACTGGAGACAGACCCTATAAATGTTATGAATGTGGAAAGGGCTTCAGTCGCAGCTCACACCTTATTCAGCATCAAAGAACACATACTGGGGAGAGGCCTTATGACTGTAACGAGTGTGGGAAAAGTTTTGGAAGAAGTTCTCACCTGATTCAGCATCAGACAATCCACACTGGAGAGAAGCCTCACAAATGCAATGAGTGTGGAAAAAGTTTCTGCCGTCTCTCTCACCTAATCCAACACCAAAGGACCCACAGTGGGGAGAAACCCTATGAGTGTGAGGAGTGTGGGAAAAGCTTCAGCAGGAGCTCTCACCTAGCTCAGCACCAGAGGACCCACACGGGTGAGAAACCTTATGAGTGTAACGAATGTGGCCGAGGCTTCAGTGAGAGATCCGATCTCATCAAACACTATCGAGTCCACACGGGGGAGAGGCCCTACAAGTGTGATGAGTGTGGGAAGAATTTCAGTCAGAACTCCGACCTTGTGCGTCATCGCAGAGCCCACACGGGAGAGAAGCCGTACCACTGTAATGAATGTGGGGAGAATTTCAGCCGCATCTCACACTTGGTTCAGCACCAGAGAACTCACACTGGAGAGAAGCCATATGAATGCAACGCTTGTGGGAAAAGCTTCAGCCGGAGCTCTCATCTCATCACACACCAGAAAATTCACACTGGAGAGAAGCCTTATGAGTGTAATGAGTGTTGGCGAAGCTTTGGTGAAAGGTCAGATCTAATTAAGCATCAGAGAACCCACACAGGGGAGAAGCCCTATGAGTGTGTGCAGTGTGGAAAAGGTTTCACCCAGAGCTCCAACCTTATCACACATCAAAGAGTTCACACAGGAGAGAAGCCTTATGAATGTACTGAATGTGAGAAGAGTTTCAGCAGGAGCTCAGCTCTTATTAAACATAAGAGAGTTCATACAGACTAAGTCCTGTAATTATGATGGCTGAGAAATGATTCATTTGAAGATACAATTTTATCTGATATCAATGAATGCCCTCAAGACTGAGCTGCTTTTATCATACTCTTGTAGTAGTTGTGGGCCACAATTTAAACCATCAGAGATGACAAGCCATTTGAAATTCTGACCCTCAGCTTTGGGAATGTTATCTCCTCCAAAATGGTGATTTTTATTCACTCAATGGGTTACTTCATTAAAATCAGCCCCACAAGTAACTGGAAAATGGAAGACCAGGGGACAAATGCTGGTGAACGCCCAGGCTTGGAAATGGAGTAAATCTTTCAATGTTATTTTCTCCCATCCTTGGCCCAAGGAACTATGCTAAGTGAAATGTGGGACTGTAATAGGGTGGTCATGGCTGCTTTGGAAAAAGGCAACTAGAGACTCTGCCTGAATTGCCACACCTATTCACACACCATAGTAGTTGGGCACACACATCTTCCCCTCCAAAGGGCTTTTTCCTTGAGTTGCTCATGCATTTGTATCTTTTCCATCTTCCTGAGGGCAAGATTTTGCACGATGAAGGCAATGATTGTAACTTTTCTCCTCACTGTTTCTAATTAGCTCATTTAAAACTTGCATCTTTGTGAAAGCTAACTGAAGATACAGTTGGAAAGGAAAAACAAGACACAGGTTTGGGGACCAAGAACCCATCAATGATGGTGACTTTAGCAGAAGATGCCCACAGTTATTACTGCCATTAATCAGATTTATGAATTTTCTTTGGGGATCACTATAGGGAACATTGCAGGGAAAATATCTTCAAGGAAAGATAGGACCATCAGTGACAGTTAAGTTTAAGGAGCAAGTGGAATTGACTCCTTCAGGGAAGGAATCACAGAGTCCCTTCCCAAGGAATGTAGGTCGTTTCTGTGTTTTTCCCTCTCTAATCTTTAAGATTTGATAAGGGCCACATCCCATTGTTTATCTTAGCTTGCATCAGGGCATGTGTATGTACAGTAATGTGTATTCCTGTGGTTTTTCTAACAGCAGAAACTGAATTTACAGAGACTTAGCATGTTCTTGGGTGATGTGAGTCATGTGACAGAAGTATAAACATAACTCCAATGTGAGAAATGTCCTTTTTTCATTATGAAAAAAATTTAAACACTAGTGCTTTAGTGTGCACTCTCCTGTAAGGTCTGTCTTTGTTCAGAGCTAAGCACTTGTTTGTATGTGTTTGTCAATTGTGGAAGATAATGACCAGACAAATAGGTCGATTGTCCTATTCTCAGAATGAATTATCTTCTATGGCAATGAAGAACTCTTTGGCTTAGAAGGAATTAACAAACCTCGGTAGGAATGTATTTCCATCCTCCCACCCTACAGATATAAGTGGTTAAAATAACAGTTCCCCCAATTTAAACCCAGTAGTGTCCGTTTTCCTAATCTCAGTCCAGGTAGGAATTAAGAAATATCTCAAATGTTGATGCTTATCCAAGCATGTTGGGGTGAAAGGGAATTGGTGCCCAGAAAATGGGACTGGAGTGAGGAATATCTTTTCTTTTGAGAGTACCCCCCGTTTATTTCTACTGTGCTTTATTGCTACTGTTCTTTATTGTGAATGTTGTAACATTTAAAAAATGTTTTTGCCATAGTTTTTTGGGACTCGGTGTTAAAGGAGCCAGTGGTCTCTCTTGGGTAGGGTATTATAATGAGTTATTGTGACCCACAGCTGTGTGGGACCATATCACTTGTTAGTAACACAACCTTTAAAGTAACCCATCTTCCAGTGGAGTTCCTTCATGTTGCCACTCCTTTTTAAGAACAAACTCAGGCAAGGAGCATGTTTTTTTGTTCTTTACAAAATCTAGCAGACTGTGGGTATTCATATTTTAATTGTCGGGTGACACATGTTCTTGGTAACTAAGCTCAAATATGTCTTTTCCCATATATGTTGCTGATGATTGTAATAAATGTCAAAGTTCTCCTGTTGCTTCTGTGAGCCACTATGGGTATCAGCTTGGGAGTGGCCATAGATGACAGCATTTCCATGACCTAACTGTATTTCACCCCCTTTTCCTTCCCTACTGTTCTTGCCCCACCCCAACCAGTTCCTGCTGCTGCTTTTGGCTTCTTAGAGGTGAAGGGCTCAAAACAAGGCTTCTAAGCACGCAGCTATCTCCGTACATGAACAATCTAGCTGGGAAACTGAAAGGACGAGGGCCACCCAAGCTGTCTCCTCTCTTTCTGCCAATTGTTGCCCGTTTGCTGTGTTGAACTTTGTGTAGAACTTACGCATCAGACTCCCTTCACTAATGCTTTTTGCATGCCTTCTGCTCCCCAGTCCCTGGCTGCCTCTGCACATCCCGTGAACACTTTGTGCCTGTTTTCTATGGTTGTGGAGAGTGAATGAACAAATCAGTATGTAGAACAGTTTTCCTCATGGTATTGGTCACAGTTATACTAGTGTTTGTATTATTCTAACTATATTCTATAATTAAAAGTATAATTTTTAAAGTCAGCAAACCTGAGAATTATTTTAGTAATCCAGCACTGATTCATATAATGGCTTTTCATCAGATTCATTAAAATCGGGCATGACTGTCTTTACTCTGATGCGTTTTGTACAGATGTACAGATATTTTACACAGATGTTCTTGTAGGAATTTAGGAGTGTAGTATCTTGAGCCCTATGGTTATTGCCATATCTTGGGAAGATGAAAAAACCCGAGTAGTTTTCTATGAAGGTTATGCTGGTGATAAAAGCCACATGGAAATATTTGGTATGGGTGACTCATTAGCTTTGGGGAAGAAAAAAAAAAATCCAAAAAGAAAAATGAGAGAAGGCCTTGTTGCTTTAAGGAGATATTTTGGAGTATTCATTAAGAATACTAAGTCTTCTGGGTGCGGTGGCTCACGCCTGTAATCCCAGCACTTGGGGAGGCCAAGGTGGGTAAATCACCTAACGTCTGGATTTCAAGACCAGCCTGGCCAATATGGTGAAACCCTAGTAAAAACACAAAAATTAGCCGGGTGTGGTGGCTTGTACCTGTAATCCCCACTACTCAGGAGGCTGAGGCAGGAGAGTTGCTTGAACCTGGAAGGCAGAGGTTGCAGTGAGCCAAGATCACACCACTGTACTCCAGCTGGGTGACAGAGTGAGACTCTATATCAAAAAAGAAAAAAAAAAAAAAAGAAAACTAAACTAAAACAGTTTCTACCACACTAGCATTGAGTTCCTAGAACAGATACCTCTTAGAAACAAAGGCTCTCTATTCATGACATAGTTGTACAGTCTGCCTAAGGCTGTGATTAGGTATTACCAGGGTGTGGCCACAATTTTCAAATTACTTACAAGTAATTTTCTCTCAATGAAATCTTTTTTAAAATGGACAGCCAGCCTAGGCAAAGGTAGGGATGGAAGTGCTTTATATTGGGGAAAATATAAATACGAAAGAAATGTTTTTAATTCTGTAGCCAAGACTTGCAAAGAAGAGAAACTTCAGCAAAAACCTTTTTTTTTTTTTTTTTTTTTTTTTGACAGAGTTTTGCTCTGTCACCCAGGCCGGAATGCAGTGGCGTGATCACAGCTCATTGCAGCCTTGACCTCCCCAAGCCCAAGTGATCCTCCCCACCTCAGCCTCCTGAGTAGCTGGGACCACAGGTGTGTGCCACTACACCCAGCTAATACTTTTTGTTATTTTTTTAGAGATGGGGTCTCCATGTTTTGCCCAGGCTGGTCTCAAACTCTGCGGCTCAAGTGCTCCGAGTCAGCCTCCTAAAGTGATGGCTTACAGGTGTGAGCCACCATGCCTGGCCTCAGAATATTATTTAGGCTACTCTGGGCCACTCTGCCTATGGGTGAGCCCTGCTCTGTCTATAGAGCAGCCAAAAATATATATACATATAAACTCTTAGCCAGGTGTGGTAGCAAGTGCTCCCAACTACAGAGGCTGAGGCTGAGGCTGAGTTCGAGGCTGCAGAGCAAGACCTCATCTCTTAAAAGCAAAAACAAAAACAAAAACAAAAAACTCGGCCGGGTGTGGTGGCTCATGCCTATAATCCCAGCACTTTGGGAGGCCAAGGCGGGCGGATCACGACGTCAGGAGATCAAGACCATCCTGGCTAACATGGTGAAACCCCATCTCTACTAAAATTACAAAAAAATTAGCCGGGCGTGGTGGCGGGTAGTCCTAGCTACTCAGGAGGCTGAGGCAGGAGAATGGCGTGAACCAGGGAGGCGGAGCTTGCAATGAGCCGAAATTGTGCCACTGCACTCCAGCCTGGGCGACAGAACAAGACTCTGTGTCCAAAAAAAACAAAAAAAACAACAACAAAAACTCTTCTTACTACGTGTTCAGCATTTTTCATTGCTGGGAAGGAAAGTTAAGGGAAAATGCTAGTTCACCTGGAGAAGTATAGCTCAAGAGCCTCCCTCTAAGAGTATTTGATATGTTAATATCTTGCCATTGTTGTTGTTACTGAGCAAATTTCCTTCTGTGTGAACTGTTCTCTGAGACCCTAGAGGTAGGTTAGGACTGTGTTTCCGGGCCATTAGGACATCACTGAGTGCACTGAAATGATAATTTGTTAAGTGGTTCCCTGGTGTTGTAGAAGTTAGTGTAGCTCCCAAAGGAGTTCCCAAGCCCTGGGAGAAACTGACTCTTTGGAAGCAGTTGTTAGATACCCACCTCTGCGGTAGAGTAGCAGATGTGGGCTCTGCTTATCAGTAGGAGACTTCGATCGTTATTGAAAAACAGCTGAATTAATGGGAGAAAATTACCCTGTAATGACCTAAAATGGGTCCGTGGGAAATCCCATTGCATAGTCTGTTTTTCTAAATGCTTCATTCCCAAAGTTTATATCATTTTCAGCTTCTCTAAAATGCTTTTATTTTGTTTTTCCTTTTGGGTAAGATTGAGAGTGATGACACCAAAATCTGGCAGAGTTTCACACCAGCCCCTGCAGCTGCTTTCTGGACAGCTCCGCTTGGAAATTACCCATCAAAGCATGAACAAAATAACAAAACTAAGTTAAAAAATTATAATAGGAAATTACCCAGACATCTTGAAATCAAACCCTGAACTCAACTTGCCACGTTTTCCCCTACTCCCTGCCTGCTTCTCCTGATTCTAACTCAGTCATTGCCCACTTATCCAAGCTAGAAACTTGCATATCATATTACTCCTGTTCCTTTAGCCACCCTCCCCAAATCAGTAACAAATATTGTATAACTATTTATCCAGTCACGCCCGTACCACCTCCTAAATAGTTCTCAGATCTTTCTGCCTCGCTCTCTACTGCCACCACTTACCACGTGACTTCCGGCAATTATTTAGCTTTTCTGCTCCTTGGATTCCCCATCCACAAATGGGAGTAATTATGTCTACCTCATAGAGTTGCAAAGATTAAATGAGATCACGGGACTCAAACTATTAGCAGCAATTATTCAGACCATCACTGGGCCATATCTCACTTACTGAAACGACTTCCTAATGAGTCTCCTCTTTTCTATTTTGATTCCCATCAGTCTGTTCTCCCTTTCTGCTAGAACAATCTTTCTGAAAGGAAAATCCCTTTATGCCACTCTTCTGTGTAAAGCCCTGTCATGCTTCCCATTGCCAGCAGCAAACAGTGAACCTCCTTTGGTGTGATATCTGAGTGGGTCATTCATGATCTGGCCTCTGTTGCTCTCCCCAGCTCTGGTTCCCTCCTCTTTTCCTGAACTTGCAACACTCTAAGCTGCATCTCTTCTGGCCAAGTCCTACTCAACCTTCAGGTCTCATACCTAACTTGCTCTAGGAAACTTTTCCCAATCCCATAAGACTGGATCAGGTGTTCCTTTTCTGTTTTCCCTGGGTTTATCCCAATCAAAGCACTTTATCCTTGTTTTGTAATTGCCTGCTTGCTTTTTTGTCTCCTCCATTAAAGTTTGGTATCTTTGAAGAAGTCACTGTCTTGCTCACCGTTGTGTCTTCAACCCCCAGCAAATGTTTGGGGTAGAATAAGCAGGCAACAATAAAATAAGGAGAATACATATAAATGTTATTCTCTTCATATTTCTGATTGTCACCACACCAAGCTACTCTTTTTTTTTTTTTTTTTTTTTTTTTTCCCCTAGAATCTCACTTTGTCACCCAGGGTGGAGTGCAGTGGTATGATTTCGGCTCACTGCAACCCCTGCCTCCCAGGTTCAAGCTGATTCTCGTGCCTCAGCCTGCTGAGTAACTGGGATTACAGGGCACCTGCTGTCACGCACAGCTGTTTCAGTATTTTTAGTAGAGACAGGGTTTCGCCATGTTGGCCAGGCTGGTCTCGAACTCCTGGCCTCAATGATCAGCCCACCTTGGCCTCCCAAAGTGCTGGGATTACAGGCTGTGAGCCACCGCGCCTGGCCGGTACTCATTAAAAGAACTGTAGAATTTTCTGTCATTAGTGCATCTGGTGAGGCCTTCTGGAAAGAAGAAGGCGGTTTCCAGAAGTAATGTGAGCCATCTAAGACCCTCCAGGTAAAGACTCTCACTCTGTCACCCAGGCTGGAGTACAGTGTCACAAACACAGCTCACTGCAGCCTTAACTTCTGGGCTACAGGGATCCTCTCACCTCAGCCTTCCCAGTAGCTAGGACCACAGGCATGCCACCACCATGCCCAGCTAATTTTGTTTTTTATTATTTATAGCAGGGGGTCTCCCTATGTTGCCCAGGCTGGTCTTGAACTCCTGGGCTCTAGGGATCCTCCTGCGTCAGCTTCCCAAAGTTCTGGGATTACAGGAATGAACCAATGCACTTGGCAGAGTATGCTATTAAAGGAACCAGAACATATAAAGAGGAGGAGTCTGGGATTGGGGATAAAGATTACAAGTAAATGAAGTCATTTAATAAAAATTCATTGAGCACCACCAGGCATTCTGGCTCATGCCTGTAATCCCATCACTTTGGGAGGCCGAGGCAGGTGGATCACCTGAAGTCAGGAGTTCGAGACCAGCCTGGCCAACATGGTGAAACCCCATCTCTACTAAAAATACAAAAATTAGCTGGGCGCAATGGCGGGCACCTATAATCCCAGCTACTCAGGAGGCTGACGCAGGAGAATCGCTTGAACCTGGGGGGCGGAGGTTGCAGTGAGCCAAGATTGGGCCACTGCATTTCAGTCTGGGTGACAGGGCGAGACTCCGTCTCAAAAAAAAAAAAAAAAAAAAAAAAAAAGCCAAGCGCAGTGGCTCATGCCCATAATCCCAGCACTTTGGGAGGCCGAGGCCAGCAAATCACGAGGTCAGGAGTTTGAGACCAGCTTGACCAACATGGTGAAACCCCGTCTCTAGTAAAACTTAAAAAAAATTAGCTGGGTGTGGCCGGACGCGGTGGCTCACACCTGTAATCCCAGCACTTTGGGAGACTGAGGTGGGCGGATCACGGGTCATGGGATCACGGATCATGGGTTAGGAGATCGAGACCATCCTGACTAACATGATGAAACCCCACCTCTACTAAAAATACAAAAATTAGCTGGGCATGGTGGCGGGCACCCGTAGTGCAGTTACTTGGGAGAGGCTGAGGCAGGAGAATGGTGTGAAACCGGGAGGCGGAGCTTGCAGTCAGCCGAGAT